TGCTGACTTTATTGAGCATATCTGCAAGGACATCGAGACCAATCCAGTCCCTGGTGATACTGATGAGGAGCGGATCTTTCTGTGGGACAATCTTGGCTCTCATCTGTCCACATTGGTTGGATTAACAGTTGCCATTAGACCTGATCCTAAACCAACTCTATTCCGAGCCATCCCCAGGCCTCCTTACCAGCCAAAGTATGGGCCCATTGAATTCAAGATCTGTGATCTTGTATCAGCAGTATCTAGAGAGGCGCGGCCAAATTGGACTACCAATGATCTTGAAGCAGCGCTTTACAGGGAAGCTGGAAGATCTATCAAAGGCGTTGATGCGACCTTTGATCACTGTGGATACAGTTTGGATGGAAACTATGATGATTAGTTGATAGGAAGAAGCAACAACAACAGCACCTCGATGGTCTCCAGCAAGTGAGCTGGATCCGCGGGGTAGTTGTAATGGACTGGAGCAATCCCCTGGAGCGTGGCTTGCCAGCGTGGCGACTCATCCTGGGCCTGTGGAAACTGAATCACACTGGTCAAGCCTGGATTCCAGTCCCCTGGATCAGCTTGCCTTGCAGCTTCTTCCTCGGACGCTGAATTGATTTGGTCAATGGATTGACTAGATGGATTGCAGTCGGTTGAATCGATTGACCATACTTAAGAGGAATGGATCCAACGCGTGGTCCTTCCTCTATCTACAACAGTACTATTTGTATACAGTTTATCTTTAGTAAGAATAATATCTACCAAGAGTAGTTGCAATAGACTTGAGCAATACGCCAGGGACCAGCGAGCCTGGTCTTCCAGCCTTCCTGGGCGCGTTTGGAATCTACGGCGTCTCATATCTACTAACTTTGTTGCTGGAGGAACTGCTGTTTCCACTTCCACCACTACCAAAGCTGCTCATACTATCATCACTCCTCTTCATCTTCCTCTGAGCCTCGTATTCTTCCCCTTGCGTTGTTTCAAATACTTAGCTCGACTCTGCTCAAACATCTCCTTTGCCCTTTTCTCCTGTGCTGCAACCCTAGCTGCTTCCGCTTCCTTTGCTGCTTCCTTGGCTGCTTTCTTTGCTTGTCTTGCTGCTTTCTTTTCCTCCTTGGTTGGTTCCTTTGCTACTGCTACTCTTTTTGCCACGCGTTTCTTTCTTGGAGGACCACGCTTGTTCCCTGCAGCTGGAGGAGGCTTCTTCAACCCTGCAGCTGGAGGAAGCTTTAGATGAGGGTTCTTCCTTGCTGCAACACCAGACGCCCCAACACCAGCTGATTGCCATCTAGTACTAGACAATCTAGTATCCAGCATCAATTCAGCTGCTGGTACTGGCATACGAGCTGGCAACTGAGCAACCACACAAGCTGGCAACTGAGCAGCTGGCATCCGAGCAGCACCAGCAGCTGGCATCCGAGCTGGCATCCGAGCAGTTCCAGAAACTGACATCCGAACAGCCGGCATACGAGCAGCGCCAGCAGCTGGTAACTGAGCAGCCAGCACACGTGGCATCCCAGCTTGCCTTCTATCACTGGCAGCATTCCTCTTCAAAGCCTTAATCAAGCCCTCAATAGTTGCCACTAGGTCACCATTAAACAGATGACTAAAATCATGTATCCAAGTCATCAGTTGTTGAACCTCCTGCATCTCATCACCAGCAGAGGAAGATGAAAGCAATGTATTGATTTGATGTAAAGCAGAACAAGTTGTAGGAGTATCTTCCACACCAGCACCAGGAACAGTCAAACGCATGAGGATTCTTTGTCTCAGCTTTACATGAAAGGGAAGGGTCTCATCATCAGTACTATAGGGAGTACAATGCGGATGAATGGTTCTTCTAGTAGCAACAACAGGCGTGTACCCGTCCTCCTCATCCTCGCTACTGCTTGATTCAGCAGCAATATCAATTGCACGATCCTGGCCAGCAGCAGCCTTTAGACGCGAGGCAAGAGGATCATACTTTGCTGGCAATCTAGCAAGACCCCTGTCCCCCCCAAGATCATTCCTGTGCCCACTATCACTGTAGTTTCGATTGCTGTAGTGCCTTGCATTCCTCCTCTCACTAGCCGAAAAAGAGACTGGATGGGGCTCTTGAAAAGGGGCACGCTGCTGCTGAGCCGGTCCTCGCTGAGCCTGTCCCCTCTGCTGAGTCTGTCCCCAGGACAGAGCCGGTCTTTGGTGAACCTGCGGCCCACCCCTTTCTGGCAACCCCCCCCCCCCCCTCACGTCTAAGCTGGTTAATGCCAAGTCCATCCACCCATGTTCTAGTTCCCCTTGGAACCAGCTGTTGAATACTGTTCCTCAAAGCCACATCAGACTGCAGGTGAATATCAGTCTTAGTGTAATCAGCTGCATGCCCAAAAGCGTCTTGCTCAAACTGGGCACTTCCCAAAGGCTGACAGTTATTCAGCGTTGCATCAAAGTTTCCTCTATGGACATGCTTAGACAGGGCGTCCTGCAGCTTCCCCAGGGGGTTCCCTGAATAGTTGTCTTGCTCATCTCGCTGGGGACCACTTCTAAGCCTTTCTTCATTCTTGTTGATGTTGAATCTGTCAGTTAAATAGAAATAGATGGAACACTTGCAGTTGCAAAGGGGACAGTTGCAAGCGACTGGCACGCCGTTCTCATACTCAAGATAGTCAACGTCGGGCTTACTGCACTCAGGACAATTCCCCCCCCTTGGATCCAGCTTACAGTTGAACTTGCAGCAGTAGCAAGCCATCCTTACATCCAGCATACCCTTGAGCTTAGGACGCCCCTTCTTATCTCTATTCGCTGCATCGTGTTCTGCTACAGCAATATCATGCTCCTTCCTCTTCCCTTGATTGTGTTTTTGAACCTTATCTAAATCATCTACAGGCATGATGGAATGGTGGTCACAGATAGGACAACCAAACCTATCCAGCTTGGCTGGATCATAGGAACACTGATCCTGTAAACGCGAGGCTGCTCCCTGCTGCCAATAGACCCTCCCTTTCTTGTGCTTGGATCCTTTGAGTCTGTTGCTGGTTTCTTCTGCTTTCATTGCCTCCTTTACTGCTTCAGCAACATCCTCAAGCTCAGCTGCAGCTGCGGTGGTCCTTCTGCTTTCCCTTTTTTGTTGTTGGTCGCTCCTCCCCTTCCTGATCTCCATGCCTGTGAAGAATTTGGCAAGCATTGTGGCTGTAATGGCCTGGGTCCATTCCAATCTCCTCTTGTGATGTGTGTTCCCTGTTGCAGTTATACTGTGATACACCCCCTGCATCTCTAGGGACAGGGCTTCCCCCCCAGGAAAGACAGCTTTGATAAGATCATGGCTGAGCTTCTCCCTGATTCTAAGCAGCAAATCTTGCTTTTCTTTCAGTGAAAGAAACTTCCTCTTGGCCAGTGTAGCCTGCGCTGTCTTGAACAAAGGATGGGATGCTGCTGGTAGTGTTGGTGGAGCAGCTGGTGGTGGGGGGGGGGGGGCGCGGCTGGAGGAGCAGGAGCTGGGACAACAGCTTCCTCCTCTTGATGAAAATCCTCTTCAGATGAATCATCTGAGAGTATTCCATCATCATGGCCTCCCAAAGCATTCCTTAGCTTCATTAGACCATCCCTGTCTTCTCTATCCTGTGTATTCATCGTATGAAGGGGGGGAGGAGCTGATTGCCGACGTCGGAAGAAGCAAGCCGTCGTGAAATAAGAGTCCCTACTGTAACACACTAAAACAGTACTTCTACTGGGTCCTTTTCTATGGTTCAAGCGGTGTTAAATCGACAATTGAAGAGAGCTATCGATTGATACCACGTACAGTGTAAAAGGTTGAGTGGAAGTGCTTGGAATGGAGCAATTCCCATGGTTGGTTGCTTTGAACCGGGGAGTTTTTCTTTAGAATGAAAAAGAACAGTTTAGCGTGATGGATCAGCGTGCTGGAGGTAGGTAAAGGTCACGACAGTGGGCCTCAGTACAATTTTGTACCTGCAATCAAAACCCTTCTATTTTGACCAAAATGGCAAGGCAAGTACCTTGATCCACGATTTTCTACAGGATTTTCTACACAGCTTTGTACCAGGATCCATCCAAAAGACCAGTCTTGGTTGCATGATCTTGCAAGATGCTGAACAGCTGCTGGGATGGGCCTGCCGGCCTGTCCCCCACCGGTTTTAGTACAGATCCTACTTAGGCCTACTGCGCTAACGTACAGAATGTTAACTTAACATTCCGTACGTTAACACCAACATACGGAACGTTAAATTAACGTTCCCAATGCCTTACTTAACGTAATTTCAATTGATGTTTTACGCGTAGTATTCTTTACCTCAATCCATTTTTTTCTACAGTCTTTCGCGGATTTTCCTCTCTCCTTATTGGGGATTCCCTTCCAGTCTAACAAGATCTTCAACTCCGGAAGTTTAAGCTTCTCGTCTTCAATTTCTTTCTCAAGAATCTTCAAGGCTTTGGATTCTGTCTTCTCCTTCTTCAACTGTTCCGCCTTATCATCCATCATTACCTTCCTCTTTGCCTGCCTTGTTCACTTCTCCATAGACATCATCATGTCTTCTGAATTTAAAGCATCGCCTCCTCTTGTAACCATATTCCGGATTCCGTGACTATGTGCCTCCACCAGGGCATCAATCCGGGCTTGTGTATTTCTGACAGTGACCGGAACCTTTTTCTTCTTCAACTTCTTGAGGCTCACCATCAGATGCTTCCCATGAAATCCCCTAGAGTTCAGCAATGCACATGCATTGAGCGCACGCTAGGGAGGGATGGATGGGTGTGATCCAGGCTGGTGGGAGGGCCCATTGATTAGGTCTCCGGACTTAACAAATGGTGGAAACCGGTTTATCTTTCTGTTGGTATTCTAGTTAGGTAGAGCTGACGTGGTGGATGCCAATGATACTGAAGATAGGCAGTAGAGACAGAATATACTGCGATTTTTGGCCACCAGCCAGGCTCGAGCTCCATTGTAAAAATATCAATAATCTGTCAAAAAACAAGCTTTTAACCTCTATCTTCTTTATGTAGTCATGTACTATAATGCATTACATTGCGTTGTAACCATCCATATATTTCTTCATCAGTTGAGCGTGAAGAAAATCGTCGGGGCGTCGTTGTTTTCGAAATACATAAAACCCTGATCGTGCTTGGCGCAGTTCTCTGGGGTCCCGCAGTCCGGAATGATCCCCAGGTCGGACCGGATCTTGTTGATCTTCGGCAAGACAATGTCGGTTTGCGGGGCGTACAAAGAGTTGGGCATGGCGAACCGGGAGTACGTAAAGACATTCCTGGCGTTGTTCGCCATGGCCAGGTACTTGTAGACCTCCTCCGACTCCCGCCCCCTGCCCGAAGAATCTGCGACAATGTCGTGGATGGCCACCACCGTGTTGGGACGAATGTGGTTCGCAAAGAGGCGCTGGCAGTATCCCCGGGCAAATTCCGGCTCGTGGAGTGCGTCGACAAACAAAAAGTCATACCCGTCCATTTCCAGTTTGCCCTCATCGTAGAGCTCGGAATAGTCTCCCAAAGTAAAGACCCACCGGGCTTGATAGTCGGGACTCATGAATTTGGTGCTGGTGTCGTGAATGTCAAAGGAGTGCAGTTTAGAGGTCGCGTCGTTGAGGTGGAGGGCGTGGAGGATCCAGTGGGAGGAGTACCCACGGTTGGGGGCCATCTCGAAGACGTTCTGGGGCTTGTGCTCCCGGACTAGCATGTAGAGCATCTCCACCTCGTAGTCCCCAAACTTGCAAGATTTGGTTTCCTCGCACCATTTCCGCATGATCGGTCGGTAGTCGGCAATCTCTTTGCCGTATTTCATGTAGAGATTTCCGAGGGTGGACGAAAAGGTGGTGGTACTGGCCAGAGCCTCGATGGTGGGAATCGCTCCCGTGTCGTGGTGGGAGACACCGACTTGCCCGGAAACATCTCTTAGAGAAGTATGGTTGGCGGAGGTTTCGTCCGGTGCGGAATGGAAGATGTTGTGCGTCAGTGTGGACGAGATGCGAAAATCGATGTAAATCAATTGCAGGACCACCTGAACACTGACGGCGGAGATAAAGTAACGGAGCAGAATACTTTGGTTAGGGATGGATTCTCTTGATTTCATTGTTATTCTCATATTATATCAACGAATCGTTTATTCTGTTGTGATGCGCTAATTGTTTTGTTAAACTTTGTTGAACATTAGCTCGAACAAGCACTTTCGAACCGGCGCGTTCGAACAAAGCGTGTTCGAACAAATGTTGAGTTAAGCGTTGAGTTTGCAAACCGGCATTCAGTTTCCAAGCACAGGGGTCATAATTTAGAGGGGAGCGCAACGCGTCGAAACTCATATTCCACGTGTGGTCCAAATTTCCAAAAAGTCACCGAAGGAATTTTTTTCATTCTCATTTTTACTGCATAATACTAGTAAAACTATCCAACCTTTAAGCAGTTGCAACTTTATCAAAAATACTACTATTTTAATTTTTGAGTAGCCAGTCTAGTCCAGTTTTTTATGCTGATTCTGAAGGTACCATTTTGTCGGATATCAAATTGATATTTGTGGTACTAAATTACTATTGAAAAATGAACATAATTTTCCACAGTAGTACTACTAGTAGTAGTAGTAGTAGTAGTAATTAGCTGGTAGTACTAATACTCAATTACCACCACCACCACCACCACCACCACCACCACCACTACTACTACTACTACTACTACTACTACTACTACTACTACTACTACTACTACTACTACTACTACTACTACTACTAC